AGATTCTCCTGCAGCTTGTGGTGAAGTCCACACTGAGACAGGCTCTCCACCTGTAGCCCGGGGAGGTTGGTGGTGAAGATACTCATCCGCAGCCCATGGAGGACTCTATGCCAGAGGAAGTGGATGCACTTGAAGGAGGCTGTGACTCTGTGGAGAACAGGCTTCTGGCAGGACCTGTGAACCCATGGAGAGAGGAGCCCATGCTGGAGCAGGTTTCCTGGCAGGAGCTGTGACCATGTGGGGCACCCACACTGGAGCATTCTGTTTCTGAAGGAGTGCACCATGTGGAAGCAGTTCATGGAGAACTGCAGCCAGTGGGAGGGACTCACATTGGAGAAGTTCATAGAGGACTGTCTCCTGTGGGAAGGACCCTACACTGGAGCAGGGGGGAAGTGTATAGAGTTGTCCCCCTAAGGAGAAAGGAGTGGCAGAGACAGCGTGCCCAGCTGAGAAGCAGAGTGATAGAGCAGCTTTGTTGGACATCTGGAATCTTGCCAGGGTAAAACCACCGCAATCAGCAATCTCTTGCTGTCAGGAACTGAGCGACAGTGCTGCTGCCAGGAGTGTTACCAATAACCAGTTGCCTCTCATGCCAAAATCTTCACTGTGTCTGTTGGCTACAAATCACATATTGTATGTCTTACAGACATAAAGGAGTAGAGAGAACTAGCAGTATTTTGCAGTCAGAAAGTAACTTTTCTCAGGGGTCTTATTCCAAAGCAGTATGAGGTCATAGGATGGACTTGGGTGGCAGCCATGATCTGGCACCTTCAGCTACCCTGTGACTCCACATTAACCGCATCTGCTCTTGTGAAGGACAGCTGTAACTAGTTAGAGCTCTGGGAAGAACGTGTGGATTAACAGGTTTTCTGGTTTGCTTTGGTTTAAGGTTTTTTGCAGAGAGACAGCTCTTCTCCCGAGCTACTACAAGGGATATTGCAGTGACTTGTTTTGGCCCAGAACTGGGGAGGTGGTTTTTTTTAATGCTTACCCTGGTTAGCATTATATCTGACATATTTTTTACTTAAAATCAGGCTATCATCACACTCGACATTAAATGCACTCCCAGTTAGTTTAGAGATTTGAATATGACTTCCTTCAAGGTTACTTTTTGTGTCATGGCTTTTGTCCTGTACTGCCTTATTGTCCGTGGGGTTTCTGTTTCCATTTTCATGTCATTAATTTAAATAACTGGCAGATGATTTAAAGCAGCAGATTCAGGGCCACCAAGCATTCATTCCATTTGATAGCACTGTCCTTTGACACGATTGAAATTCTAGTAGCAGTCTTCGTGTAGTAGAGTGTTCTTCTAGTAACAGTCTTGCTACATAGCTCTAACAAGTCAGTGCCAATGCTTATAATTATAGCAGAGAGGGTACAAATGAAAGCAGAACAGGAAGAGTAGTCTGAATGAAGTGGTGGTTAAAAGTCTCCATTTCAGGTTCCTGAAGTCCAGTCTGCCCCAAGGCCCTGAGACACTCAGTTTCTTACTCTCATTTTGTTACCTGCATTGTATGTAGCAGGTGCTACCCACACAACTTCCACCTGACTTTTCTTTTTTAACCAAGTGCCACCATTTCTGAGAGCCATAATATAACTTCTGACCCTCTTCCTACAGATCTCAAAACTTGCTTTGTGAATCTGTTTTTATCCTGGTAAAATTGTGATGTCCATTGTCTTGCCAGCCATTGCCACATTGTATAAAGTTTGTCTTCGTTATGTGGGGCAGGATTGTGTGTTTGCACATGTAAGTTATACAACTGCTACTTTATTGTGCTCTATCTGACAAGCTGTGTTTTGACATTTGTGCATCTATGTGCATATTTCCCATTCGGGATGAAGAATGTTTGTTTATGCAGTTTGGGTTTGTTTTCATTGTAGGAGATTGAAAATATAGAGATCAGGGCAGTTAATTCACTTAAATGTCCACATGGAATTTAATGAAACATGCCAGTGATGATAGACATCTTTAATGCTATATACACAGAAATAATACGTCACTTACCAGGATGAAAAGTTTGAGGAGACTGACTTTCAGGTGATTGTGTATGTAGCTTACTTCCCACTAAAAAGTGTGACTATACAGTACTCAGTTGCTTTATTCACTTTACAGTGTCTCAGGCTGCACACAGAATAAGGGGAAAGTGTTCCTGTGGAAAGTACTGGGACATGAAAAAATGAATAGTGCAAAATAATGCAAGAAATAGCAGGAACATTTGAAAATAAATGTGTACAGTTCTAGTATCTGCATATTTAAGTATACTGGGGAGAGGAGGAGGGGAAAAGGTTGTTCTTGCTGTAAATACATTTGATGGTTTTTTGTTAAGTTTTATTTTCTGCCAAGGTTTTATATATTGGAAAATATTTGAGGAAAAATAAATTGAGCATTGGATGAGACACAAAAACAGAAAAAAAAGGAAATTTTAAAGAACGTAAATGTCATATTGTATGTTTGTTGGCTATTGTGTATCAGTGTGAGTAGTGTTTGAGAAGGAAAAAATGCGGTTAGTCCATATGGATTGGCATGTATATGTTTAAAACCTTTCTATAAATATTTGAATTAAAGGACACCAGATGTTGCACAGAAGCTGCTGCTGTCTGAACTTCATGGTATATTCTTTCAAAACCCACAGGAAGTAGCTGAGGGAAAAAGTGTATTAATTAAGTTCAGAAATAGATTCTTCAGCTATAGAAAAATCTCCAAAGAAAATAGCATTTGATCTTCAGAAATGTGAGCTTGCTGTTGGAGGAATCTGGTGGCAGCGTGCAAAACTGTGACATGGGGATCAAAATTCAGATTTCAAATTCTCGGAGCTAAGTCTGTATCTTGTGGAAATGGACGCATCTTTTGCCCTGTCTCCTCTGAGCAGTGTTGATAGTTCTGTAGACAATCTACAGAGAAAAGGATTTTTCCATTTTTTCTTGACACCATTGCAATAGCAGAGACATGAGGAGAAAGGAAAGTATTAGAGTTTCCAGATGCTCTGCACTTCAGACTTGAAGTTTGAGACATACTCAGAGTGTATTTTGGAAGTTCAAGAATTATGGAGGAGGGGGAAAAAAAAATAAATTTACTTTGCATTGGTTGAGGAACAAGATTTGTGTTTTGCAAACCAATTAAGTGTTTCTGCATTTAGAAGTACTGGCTGCTGCAGCTGTAGTGTCTTCTTCGGCTCTATAGTGTCTTTTTCTTCCCCACTGAGCACTCTCATGTCAAGCAAATCAGAAACTTTAAACATGCATTGCTGATGTATTAGGTAGTGCTTGTATCATGGTTTGACCCCAGCCAGCAACTAAGCACCCAGCAGCCCCTCGCTCATCCCACCACTGCAGGATGGGGATAGCATCAGAAGAATAAAAGTGAGTAAAGCTTGTGGCTTGAGGTGAAGACAGGTCAGTAAATGAAGCAAGGCTGTGTATGCATGCAAAGGAGAATAGGTAGTTTATTCACTACTTGCCATCAGCAAGTCCAGAAAGCAGGGCTTCATGTCACATAGCGGTTACTTAGGAAGACAACTACCACAACCATCCGACCCCCCGTTCTTTTCCTTTCCTTTCTTTGATATGGAATGGAATATTCTTTTTGATCAATTGGATCACCTGTCCCAGATGTGTTTCCTTCCCAACCTTTTGCTCACACCCTGCTTGCTTGTTGGGAGGGCAGAGTGAAAAAGAGAGAAGGCTTTGATGCAGGCACTGCTCAGCAATAACTAAAACACTGGTGTGTTAACAGCTCCAATATAGTCACAAATCCAAAGCACAGCACCATCTTGGCTGCTATGGAGAAAATTAACTCGGTCCCGCAGTGGAGCCAGTACAATCTCCACTCCTTGTTCCATTTACCTACCTCTGTCAGGCTCCACCTGTTGCGGTCGCTCAGGACAGGAGAGGCAGCCTGTTGTGTTGAGTTCTTGGGCACCAAGACCAGCTCAGGCTGGGTAACAGGACACTTGCTCAGTTCCTTTCATGGATCATCATATGTTGGTTTGAGTGGCTTTCGCTGTAGTGCTTCCTGCAGCATAGAGCTTAAATCACAGGTAGCCACAGTTTAAACATATATCCATTACGGTACCACTACGAGGAAGGGAGAAAGGTGTGTCTTCTCTCACCTCTCCTAAAGAATTCCACTGTAGGCTTTAAGAAGTCTTCCTGATATATTTGTGTTTTACAAACCTGTTGCACCTTCTTTCCCTGCCTTCAAAAACTGAACACAAAGCTGTCTTTGGAAAAGTCTTAGATAACCCCATTTTGTTCATCAGTCAGAGTGATGACAGGAACCTGAATATGAGATAACTTTTACAATATGTCATACCAATGACTCCTAATATTTAAATGAGGAATTCAGAAATGGAAGCAATTCATATTTTTCTCCTTTTTCTCCAGATTAAAACATGGAGATCATATTTGTTCTTTGAGTCAGTCTACAGAGTGCCAGTATTCTGCTACATCAAATCTAAGGGTTTTTAAGATCAGATAAGACTTTGCCTCCCCACTTCTTTTTATGTATATTCCTTCAATACCTGCTATGTCATTTTGCCTACTTTTATGGCGTCCATATGATCCTTCTTACAAGTAGCTGTATTCTTTAATGCAGAATACCTTCTATCAGTATGGTAGTTTATATACAGGCGGTTTATGAATTTGGTTTGCGTGTGTAAAAATATAGTAGATATAAAATCAGCACGTTAGCTCTGCAAGTTGTGTTCGATATGCTTTTAAAATAAACATCTCGTTATCCCTATTCAGTACTAGAAAAATAGCAGATATACAAGTCTGTTATGTGTCTGCCAATATTTGGACAATTAGATTTTTCTTAATTTCGGATGACAGTAATATGGGAAAAATAAGAAGTATTCAAATATTTTCATGTCATGAGGTTTTCTTCTTGTCCAGTTAGTAGTTCAGAATCACGTTAGTATGCATTGCAGCATAGCAGACACAGACTTTTATGAGTATTTACTGTTCTATTGACTACATGTCTTTGAATTTATTTTGTATAGCCAAATTGTACTGCAACTGAGCGAGCCATTGCAAGACTTGCAACACACCCCATCTTGAAACCGAGATTTGTTGAACTCAAAGGTATGAAATATTATAATTTATGACTGCAGTAGCTTACGAGTGTGTTACGTTGTTCCTGTGTGTTCCTGACATGAAAAATCAGTGTAAAAAGAAAAGTAAGAAAAAGCCCCTGTAATTGCCTAACTAGCTGCCATGAGCTTGTAGTCATTTATATTGCTTGAAATGGGCTTGTACATGACAGTATGCTATATGATGTTTAAGATATTGGGTGTGGAACAAGCAGGGTTAATAATGGGATTTCTAAAAGTGGAGTTGATATAATGGAGTATCTCTAAACTAAGGAATGAAATGGCAATGAGCGCAATAATGTGCAGATACAAAGGTAAAAAGAGCATTACAACATGGTTTCCAAAGGCAGCTAAAAGGTTTTGCATGTGGCTCGTACTTCCTCGAAAACTGTCCCCAAAATCCTTATGGAATCTTTCCTGCTTCTTTAGGTCATTTCCTGTTTGATTTAACCTCAGATTTTCTAACTAAAAATTATGTTAAAGAGTCAAGTCATAGTAATAATGTCACAAAGTTACTTTGTTAATAACAGAGCCTGTCAAATATCTAATTATATATGAGCAATTTACTGTTTGTTTGTAGTTTTCACACACTAAGTAATGCCCCAAATGAACATGAAAGAGAAGTTCACAGTTAAACCCAGGTTTATTACCAACTAAATATACTGTTAATTTCAAGTTAGTCTCCTTACTTTTGTTGAAGCTGTACTCTATGGTATTTCTTGCCCCATGTGCTCAGTAAATGACTGATAAGGACATTGAAAATGTGCCTGTTCAATACCTTTAACTTGCAAAGATGTTCTGTTATATTAAAATAACTTAACGTAAACTCATGTATAGCTGAAACAAAAAAAAAATTCTTCTGCCCCTTGTATAGCTGCTGTAAAAGCTTTTAAGGATGCAAGACAGAACTCAGCCAAAGCCACTCCTTCAAAAAAGGCTAAGCCAGAAGAACAGCCTAAACCAGCACAACATTTCAATAGCAGTTTGGAGGACCAAGCTCTTAAAGTAGCTCAGGAACAGCCAGGGCATGAGCACAAAACAAAAATGAATATGAAAATAGAAACTGACAGGGTAGCTGAAGAACTTTGTGAGAGTGAATCTAAGCAGAAAACTGTGGAAATGGAGGAAACATATGCTCCAGAAAAACCTTCATTTCAGACAGTAGAAATGCAAGCAGTCACTTGGAATGAAGCAAGAAAGAAACTTGGCTATCAAAAAAGGAAAGAAAATATGAACATGAACAAATTAAATGCAATAAAAGAAGTAATTAATGATGATAGAGGCAAACAGCATCCTAATGAAGAGGAGTACTTTGATGATAGTACTGAAGAGAGGTTTTACAACCAGTCTTCAGATTCTGACAGTGACAGCAATGATGATTTTTTCATTGGCAAAGTAAAAAGAAAGAAAAAGACAGCAGCAGTTACTGATCCTTCTTCAGCAAAAGAAAAAGTTAGGGTTCAGAAAAATCTGGTCAAGAAAGAAGAAAACACGATGCTTGGGACAGCACAAGATTTGATCCTGAAAGAAGGAAAGCCACATGGAAAAGAGAGCAAGCTGGAATCAGTGTTCTGCAGTTCTTTGTCCACCTCTAATCCAAAATCTCAAAACAGAAGAAGGTAAATCGTTTTCCCTTAATTTTATTTTCCATTCCCTCCCACCTTCCCTATAATGGAAATCATGATTTTTAGTAGTCCTTAACAAAGAAAGAGAATTTCAGCCAATTACCACTTGCAACATTTTCACATAACCGACTCTGCAGTGTTCTTGTGCTTTCTTGACAGTTACATATTTTTCATATTCATGCTAGCACTGACTTACACATAGGATTCCTAACTAGACCTGCATCCAATTTAAATCTCTACTGAATACTGCTGGTTTTACTTGTTTATTAACAAAGAGGAAACAAGATATATGGAGTTTGCACTTCATTCTTGAAAAGTCATTGCACGAGTGTTTTGGTGGTGACAATTCTTTATTCACAGATGTTTGACATCTTACAAGTTTCTTGAAAAATCCTAAATTCTCTTTTTGTTTTTAGAAATAGTAAAGACCAGCCTCTCAAAAATGGAAGGACAGGTATGTGTTACTTAACCTGGTGAAGATACAAAGTAAAAACATCGTGAGATTTTGTTGCCTCTGCAGTCTAATCATGATAGGCTGTCAATCTTTGTGACACATATTTTAATATTAGTTGTTAAAATGGTGAGATTGTTGAGCCTTCATTTTAATGTGTGGATATTGCTTGGTATTTCCTGTTTTTTTAACATTAGCAATACTTGAAGTAGTGTTTACACAGGAAAGTGCTTTTCTGCCTGTATTCTTATTGAACAGTTAGTGTCACCTGTGCACAGGTTAAGCTGTTACTTTATGATACTTAACAAGCAGTTCATCTCGTTAATTCCTCCAATAACTTTCAGCATTTTACTCCATTTATATTATATGGTAGCATTTTGGAATTCATTGAGTCAAGGATGTCGTTTCAGTCATATTGAGTTACATTGTGTAATGTCTCATTGGTTTATTGTGAAGAAAAAGGTTGAGACTGTGCTGAATATTTGTCTACACAAATATTGAATGTGGTCAGTAATAATAAATCTTTACTATCTGCAGTCTACCAAGTGACAATTCACTGGGCTGCAAGATAAAGAAATCTTGCCGTGAACATTCAGATGAATGTGTTCCTCACAGCTCATTAAGAAATTCTTGAAAATATTTGCAATACTAAGGTAGTTTTAGCATATTTTCATGAAGGTTTGTGACGTAATTAATGTCCTATTTTGTACTTCTTGCACAGCTTTTCTTAAAAAGGAACCACAGTTCAGGAAGCAACCATTTACAAAAGCTGCAGGTGTTAAATGTGACAATAAGAAAGAGCAGCCTCTTCATCCATCATGGGAAGCAAGCAAGCGACGCCGGGAACAAATGTCTCAGATTACAGCATTCCAAGGGAAAAAGATAAAATTTGATGACTAGACTATGTATAAATTGAGATTTAAAAAAAAGGATTCTTGCAGATTTGCCTCCTCTGAATTAATGATTGCTATTGAAACATTTTTGTTACACCGTCCTCACATTTTGCAACCTACAGAATAGCAACTGCTAGAACTTACCGTCTGTTAACAATGAAGATTCCTTCATTTATTCAATGTTTCAGCTGTTGATTAATAGATGGTCATATGGTGTTGGTTCATAAGTCTCATTACATAGTGCCACCCTTTATGAAATACACCCTAATGCGAATCAGTGTTTTTAGGAACATCATTTGTGTCCCGTGGGAATAATACAGATTCTTTTGAGCTCGTTTTGTGTGTAAAAATGTACTTTAAACTGTGTGATGTCTTTCATGTCAAAAGAATAGGGGAAAATACAAAATATTGAGGTGATAGCCCTAGGAATATATTATCATATACATCTCAACTGAGAAAAAGTAAGAGTTTCTTAAACATGAACAGACTTCACAAATTCGTGAAAGTATCAAGTAGCTGGAAGAGCTGACCGATAGTATGCATAATGTGAAAATGTCTGGGGAGGAATAAAATACTGGTCTAATAAATTGTGTTCTCTGTCTGTTGGTTATACTGCTGATCTGGAGAAATGAAAGTGTCTTTGATACTGTTGTCCTAGTAGATATATCTGGGTGCTCCAATATGGCTGTCTTTTTGAAAGAATGCTGAAAAATTAAGAGGTCTTTCTAAACTATGAACCATTTGACTTAAGTGCCGTTCTGAGGTTAGGAGTTCATTTGATTGGGATATGAGGGAAAATCTTCCTTGTATTTTTCTTCAAGGGCTTTTCCTACTGCTTAATTAGTTCTGAACTTGTAATTAATCTTTAACAGTGTGTACTTAAATACAGTTATCTTTCATAATCAGATTAATTCGGAAACTTCGTAAATTACTGCAGTGGCTATAAGAGAATACACTGTACAATTCATGTAGCATTTTGTAATGCCTAAGAATATCCCTGCAGCAGATTGAAGGTCCATCTAGCCTAATATCTTCAATGACAGGCAAAAAGGGATGCTTTAAGCACAGGGATAGACGAAGCACACAGTGACACATCATCCAACTTGCAACTCATTGAGTTTTGTAGCTCAGGAACATCTTGTGATTTTGTAGCTTATTGTGTTTAATAATCTTAAACAGGTTTCTTTTCTGCACATTTGTCTGCTCTTAAATCCATGTAAACCTGTGAAATCTATGATCCCTTTAAGTGTAAAAGTCCTTCCTATGCATTACACTGTTTCTTGTGTCTCAGCAAAGAAGTCTGGCAGCCTTCTGGGCTGCCTTAGAAAGTGCGTTGCCAGCAGGACAAGGGAGGCGATCCTGGCCCTGTACTCAGCACTGGTGAGGCCACAGCGGAAGTGCTGGCTGAGGTCATGGGCTCCCCAGTACACAGGACTGATTGGAGTGAGTCCAGCAAAGGGGTGACCAAAATGATTAAGGGCTTGAAGTATATGGCATAAGAAGTAGAGACTGAGAGGGCTAAGGCTGTTCAGGGGAAGAGAAGGCTTGAGGGGATCTTCTTGATGTGTGTAAATACCAAGAGCAGGGAGGACTGTAAAGAATCATGGAATCATAGAATGGCCTAGG